ATTTTTATCTTTGTTAGATCAGATATTAGGCTGGTGCAACAGTAATTGCAGTTTCAGACTGTGAATCGTCAATCATTATAACTAGGCTCAAACAGATCTTTATTAATCAAAATAGGACCGATTACAACCAACACATTTTTGCCAATGAGAAATAAGTTTGTTTATTCTTGTAGCCTAAAAATCCCTACTTCAGGATTCCACAAACTCTTGGAAAGCATTTTCTGCCTCCTGCTGGTTGTGAAAGCATTTTCCCTGCAAAAAGTTGTTGAGATGCTTGAAGAAGTGGTAGTCGGTTGGCAAGAGGTCAGGTGAATACAGCAGATGACGAGAAACTTCGTAGCCCAATTTGTTCAACTTTTGAAGCATTGGTTGTAAGAAGTGTGGTCGGGCGTTGTTGTGGAGAATTGGGCCCTTTCTGTTGATCAGTGCTGGCTGCAGGTGTTGCAGTTTTCAGTGCATTTTATCAATTTGCTGAGCAGACTTCTCAGATGGAAGAGCTTTGCCGGGATTCAGAAAGCTATAGTGGATCAGACTGGCAGCAGACCACCAAACAGTGACCATGACCTTTTTTCGTTGCAAGTTTGGCTTTGGGAAGTGCTTTGGAGCTTCTTCTTGGTCCAACCACTGAGCTGTTCATCGCTGGTTGTCGTATAAAATCCACTTTTCGCTCCACGTCACAATCTGATCGAGAAATGGTTTGCTGTTGCATACAATATGAGAAGATGATGCTTCAAAATGATGACTTTTTGATTTTCAGTCAGCTCATGAGGCACCCCCTCAAGCTTTTTCACCTTTCCAATTTGCTTCAAATGCTGAATGACTGTAGAATGGTCTACGTTGAGTTCTTGGGTAACTTCTCGTGTAATTGTAAGAGGAACAGCTTCGATGATTGCTCTTAATTGGTTGTTGTCAACTTCCACTGTGCTCCTCATCTTCCAAGCGCTCGTCTCCTTTACAAAACTTCTCGAACCACCACTGCACTGCACGTTCATTAGCAGTTCCTGGGCCAAATGCATTGTTGATGTTTTGCGTTGTCTCTGCTGCTTTACAACCCATTTTGAACTCGAATAAGAAAGTCACTCGAATTTGCTTTTTGTCTAACATCATTTCCATAGTCTAAAATAAATATAAAATAAACAGCAAGTAATAAGTTATTAGCAAAAAAAAAATAAAGTGAGAAATGTGCATTAAAATGATGTATAATATAACCACATTTATTGAAGAATGTATCCCAATATCTAATGGCCAATTTCAACAATGCTAAAACCACAATTACTTTTGCACCAGAAGAGCACTTTTGCTCTTCAATTTTGGCAAGAGAATTTTTAAGGGTAGCCACACATTATGTGTCTTTCTTTTAATCTAACTTCACTTAATACAAATATGGCAATTGGCCGGACGCGGTGGCTCACGCCTGTAATCCTAGCACTCTGGGAGGCCGAAGCAGGTGGATTGCTCAAGGTCAGGAGTTCGAGACCAGCCTGAGCAAG